AGATCCATCTACCGTGACTGCAGAGGAGATTCAGAAAGTTGCTGAAATAGCAAATGCTGCTCATTTTATCAGAGATTTTCCAAAAGGGTTTGACACTGTAGTTGGAGAAAAAGGCATTCTACTTTCAGGTACATTTGTTATTTGATTTTAAAATCACGATGCTTCGGAGCGAAGCCAAAATTGTGTTGTTGTTGTTACTCAGCCTTTTTCTCCAAGACATAGCCCAACATCAGTATTAACATCACTTCCATTCCCCTCCTGATGCACGTGCCTAATTCAGCTCAGCCCAAGCCTCTAGTTAAAAGGACTTCATGTCTGTTCTCCTCTTTCAACTTACTGACTTTTTCCCCAGGTGGACAGAAGCAGCGAATTGCAATTGCTCGAGCTCTGCTCAAGGTAAGACTGCACCTGTTAATTAAGAAGTTGCACAGTGTTTGTGAACTCTCATTTATTACATCTGTGGTTGAAATACTGATAGATCTGGTAGATTTTTCTTATTTTTTGTTTCTGGACAGTAAATTAGCAGGCAAACTCCAAGCAGCGGTGAGCTGACACACCATGAAAGATCCCTGTGACAGTAGTAAATAGGAAATTGAACTTCTGACTGCAGCGTTGCCAAGTATACGTTAAAAGTCTTCTCCCACAGCACTGCCGCTAGGTTGTGTCTTTGAAATAGTCCCCAGTTAGTAGTGTTCTCTTTCTTTAGCTTGCAGAATTGGAGATGAAAGTGCTGTTTCCATTTTGCTATCTCGACCTGTGGACTTGCTAAATGTAGTTTTAGAGTGGCACCCTGATCTTTTGAAGAAATAATTGCTGTGCTGTACTAACACTGTATTTTTTATATATTCAGGTCTTGTCCCATTGTAATTGTAACCGATTTTACTTTCTTCTTTAGAATCCCAAAATTCTTCTCTTAGATGAAGCAACAAGGTAAGAAAAAGTAAACAGAAACTTGTGATCTATCTGTAGAACAGAGATTTGGGCGGTGTTCTTTCTTTAGCTGCATGCCCTTGAACAATCTACCTAGCCTCTTATTTTTCTCTGCCCACAAGAAACTGAAATTCCAGAATGCATAAATTGACAGGGAGATCTGTGCTGAAAGCTTTGCTTATGCAAAGTGGAAGGATAGCTGGAATGCTGAATTAATTTTTCCCCAAACTAGCTCTGTAATGTGCAACGTAGCTTTGAAGCAGGTGTTTCAAAAGCTAACCTGCTGTTAAAATAACATATTCCCCTTTCTCTCTACCCCCTTTCCCTCCGCCCCTTCTGCTCTTCATTTCTTTATAGTGCTTTGGATGCTGAAAATGAGTACCTAGTGCAGGAAGCCCTGGACCGGCTGATGGAAGGGAGGACAGTTCTAATCATTGCCCACCGTCTGTCTACCATTCAGAATGCTGATTTTGTGGCCGTCCTCGGTCAGGGCAAAATTCTCGAATGTGGAAAACATGAGGAACTCCTTGCAAATCCAAATGGACTTTTCAGGAAACTAATGCAGAAACAAGCTTTTCTCCAGAACAGCGATACTTTTGCACTAGACATACAATCCAGAGAAAATAATCTATTAAAAGAAAACGTATGAGGGAATGTACGAACGATGGAAGCTTACAAACTATGAAGAATGTAACTTATGTTCCAGTAATGTAAAGTAAATGTTATATTTTTCCAAAATGTACAAAGTATCCTTTTGAAACTTAAATGTGTTTAAACTTTGTATTGAAAGCTTTTTGATAATTATTGTCACTTTTAAAATGTGTGTCGCATTCAGAGAGTGTCAGAGGACAGATGTTTGTGCTTTGTGTCACATGAACCGAGGCCGTTTAGAGCCATGCTTGCTGTAATGCACTGTATGACAATGTGCTATGTTCTCAAGTAAATTCGGTATTTTAAGGGGAATCAAGTGGCAGTCCGATCATTTTCACTTCATTGTCTCTTCCCTTTTCAAGAAACTTTTACGTTTGTGTTTGTTGCTCATCTTAAAAGGCTGGAATTCCAAAAGTGCACGCTTCACTTACCATTTGCTCTGAGATAAGAGAACTTGATTAGGCTCACCATCTACAGTTAACAGAGAGCTACAAATGAAAACTTGTCTATAGTGCATGGGAACAGATGTTGGAGGAAAGCCACTGAAAATAAAAACAACTAACTGACTTTACAAATAAGGACAAACAAAGTATAATTTTTGCAGTGTGTTTTTTCAGCGCAGGAAAAATCTAAGGTTTGCATGCATTTTCTTCCCTTTTCTACTTTCCCTGCTTTAGTTTTGCTTCTATTACAAGATGACATCCAAAAGAAGATGTTTTTACAAATGTGAGTTGTCCCTTTAAGGCACATACACATACATATTAAAGTCTGGTTTATGAAATTTTAGTGTCTTAAAATTACATGTCTTAAAATTTCATAGAAATCTCAGATTTTGCCTAATCACCTCGTGTCACTTGCTCAAGGACAATTATTAAAATATGTTGTGGTAGCATGACATTAATTTACACAACTGCAGGAAGTACGTTTGGCAGTGAAGAGCAGGCTTCACGTTTCTAATTTAAGAACCTCTTTAGTAGAATCTCTCCATGCTTTCTGAAGATACAAAGCACCACAAGAAACGTTTACAAAGCCAAAAGTTTCACAGTGTCTCATCAGAGCTCCCTGTGCTAGGAAATCTGATTGCTGCTGGAAAGCCTTATTGGAAATAGGTGAGGTATCTAACACTGGGTAAGCTTAACATCCTTCTCTAATGTGCCTCTAAAAGCACATTATGGAACACGGTGAAAACACTGAAAAGATCCCTGCGCTACCGAATGAAAATAAGATATCTTCTGCTATAGTCTTAGGAGAAGAAGAGATTTTGTTAAAGATACAACAAAAACACCACTGACCCAATGTTCAATTTCAGTGTTGGCAATTACCCCCTTGATAGTGTATCTAGAGAAGCTTGAACTTTAATCTTTATTCCTAATCTCTCTTTATGTGAGTGCAATCAGCCTTTTGGTTTGTGAGTTTAAACCATGTGATCACGAGAGTTAATTGCAGCTGAATTGAATCACTGTTCTATGTCTGTTGATCATGAATTGTTCTGGAAGGCATTGCAGTCTACCAAAAAGGGAGAAGAGCTCTAGTTCACAGCAAGTTGAATCTATGTTTCAAGAGCTACAGTGAATAGCAGACTGTACTCAAAATGTTCTTTGCACCAAACAAGCCAAGACAGCTTTGCTGGACAACTTCAGTTTTGTAGTTTACGCATTTACACTGCATGTGACCCAGCCTCACTATGCATGTGGAATGCTGTATGTAAGCAGTAGATGTAGTCTACCTTGACTTCAGCTAGGCTTTTCACAGAATCACAGAATTGTAGGGGTTGGAAGGGACCTCCAGAGATCATCGAGTCCAACCCCCCTGCCAAAGCAGGTTCCCTACAGCAGGTCGCACAGGTAGGCGTCCAGGTGAGACTTGAACATCTCCAGAGAAGGAGACTCCACCACCTCCCTGGGCAGCCTGTTCCAGTGCTCCGTCACCCTCACTGTGAAGAAGTTCTTGCGCACTTCGTGTGGAACTTCCTGTGCTGCAGCTTATGTTCGTTTCCCCTTGTCCTGTCTCCACTCACCACTGAAAAGAGACTGGCCTCACCACTATGGCCCCCACACCTCAGATATTTATAGACCTGGATCAGATCCCCTCTCAGTCTTCTTTTCTCAAGGCTAAACAGACCCAGTTCACTCAGCCTTTCTTTATAGGGGAGATGCTCCAGGCCCTTCACCATCTTTGTGGCCCTCCACTGGACTCTTTCCAAGAGATCTCTGTCTTTTCTGGGGAGCCCAGAACTGGACACAATACTCCAGATGAGGCCTTACCACGGCAGAGTAGAAGGGGAGGATCACCTCCCTCGACCTACTGGCCACACTGTTTTTAATGCACCCCAGAATGCCATTGGCCTTTTTAGCCACGATGACATCCTGATAATAAAGCTGAGAGTGTGGGATAGATGAGTGGATAGTGAGGTGGGTTGAGAAGTGGCTGACTGGCTGAGCTCAGAGGGTGGTGATCTTTGATGCAATCTGGTTGGAGATCTGTGTCTAGCAGTGTCCCCCAAGGGTCACTGCTGAGTCTGATCTTGTTCAGTATCTTCGTTGACAACCTTGATAAGGGGGTAGTGATAGTGTCCACCCTCAGTAAGCACGCTGATGGTACAAAGCTGGGAGGAGTGGCTGACACACCTGAAGGCTGTGCTGCCATTCAGCAAGACCTGGAAAGGCTGGAGAGCTGGGCAGTAAGAAACCAGGTGAGGTTAACGAAAGCAAGTATAGAGTCTTGCACCTGGGAAGGAATAACTACATGTATCAGTACAGGCTGTGGGATGAGCTGCTGGAGAGGAGCTCTGCAGAGAAGGACCTGGGTGTCCGGGTGGACAACAGGTTGGTCATGAGCCGGCAGGGTGCTCTGGTGGCCAAGGCCAATGGGATCCTAGGATGCATTAAAAGGAATGTGACCAGCAGGTCAAGGGAGGTGATCCTCCCCCTCTACTCTGTCCTAGTCAGGCCTCACCTGGAGTACTGCTTACAAGAAAAATGCGTAATGCTGCTTAAAAGAAAAGTGCGAATGGAGCCTGGCAAACACTTGCAAATCATATAGATAAGAGTACCTCCATGTTTATTATGGTCTGTTGAAGAAAGTAACACAAAATGTAACAATGTGAATCCCAGGATGCCATTGGCCCTCTTGGCCACCAGAGCGCCCTGCTGGCTCATGACCAAGCTGTCGTCCACCAGGACACCCAGGTCCCTCTCTGCAGAGCTCCTCTCCAGCAGCTTATCCCCCAACCTGTACTGGTGCATGCAATTATTCCTCCCCAGATGCAAGACTCTACACTTGCTTTCATTAAACCTCATCCATTTTTTTTCTGCCCAGCTCTCCAGCCTGTCCAGGTCCTGCTGAATGGCAGTACAGCCTTCAGGTGTGTCAGTCAATCCTCCCAACTTTGTATCATTAGCAAACTTGCTGAGGGTGGCCACTATCCCCTCATCAAGGTCATTGATGAAGATGTTGGACAAGACCGGACCCAGCACCAACCACTGAGGAACACTACTGGTTACAGTGGCCCATGACAATTCCTCTTTACTCAGTGCAGCCCAGGCGAACCAGAAGGTAGGACACTCGCACTGTACACCACGTTCAGTGCAGCTGGTACCCTCAGGTCTAGGCTGCCTTTCTCTGCAGTGGTCCATTTGCCTGGCTTGCATGCCAAGCAAGAGATTCCCTGAAGGGGAAACTTTTCATCCCAGCTGCCAAGAGTTGTTTCTGCTACTGATACATCTTATTTTGGAATCCCCATTTGGTATCCTCCTTTAGCCCTGTTTCACACCACTGTTACAATGAGAAAAAATGTAGCCAAGGACAGAAGGAAATGGGTTCAGCAAACATTCAGCGCAGTGCGAAGCACTGAGGTGAGCATTTCCAACCATGGTGTGTAAATAAATGATAAAATACAAGCAAATCTTAAACACAAGGACGACTTGAGTTTACAAATAAATGGTATCCTTCACCCATCAGGCATCAGCTTTTTCATCCTTATCTCTCTGTAACAAGGTTTCTGAGCTCAGAAGGGATTTTCCATGTAGGGGCAGATATGTGAGGTGTCAATGTGAGAACTTATTAAAAATATACACATTTTTTTAATTGCGTTTGTGAACATCTAATACTCTGGAAGAAACACCTGATGTTTATGTGACTGTTAAAAGAAACACTGAAACTGAAGAAATGAATTCCCCGCTCCCAGCCAGGCTGCCAGGTGAGGTGAGAACACAGCTGAGGCGGTTCTGCCCTGAGAGAACGGACGGCAACGCCTGCGAGCTGCCTGTGACCTTCAGGTGACCCCGGCCGTGGCCTTCAGGTGACCCCGGCTCGGTCACCTTCAGCTGGAAAGAGCGGGAAGGATGAGGTGAGGAAAAAAAGCGGCGGGAAGAGAAAACGGCGGGAAGAGAGAGAGGCGTTCTGAGCTCCTATTGGCTGACGGGCGGCAGGGAAACCTATATAAGGCGCATGGGCGGGAAGGTGAGCGACAGGTATTTACCTCAGAGCACGAGAAGAAGCGGAGCGCTGCGAGGGAAGGACAGCAGGCGGAATCCAAGCAGCGCCGAGACAGAGGTGCGGAGCGGCGGGGTGGAGCAGACGGGCAGCCGGGAGAGATTGAGGCGGGCGTCGGGCAGGATGTGCTGGGAACGACGGATGACTGAACAGTCGAAGAGGGGCAACGAGGGGGAAGAGCAGAGCCAGGGGTTGCGGGGATTGTGGGGTTCCGGCCGGAGCGCGGCTCCGACGGCGCGAGGGTGGGGGGGGAGTCCGGCCGGAGCGCGGCACCGGGGGTGGAGGGGGTCCGGCCGGAGCGCGGCTCCAACGGCGCCGGGGGGTGGGGGAGGAGAGGGGGGTCCGGCCGGAGCGCGGCTCCGACGGCGCCGGGGGTTGGGGGAGGAGAGGGGGGTCCGGCCGGAGCGAGGCTCCGACGGCGCGGGGGTTGGAGGGGGTCCGGCCGGAGCGAGGCTCCGACGGCGCCGGGGGTTGGAGGGGGTCCGGCCGGAGCGCGGCTCCGACGGCGTCGGGGGTGGAGGGCGGAGCCTGGCTGGAGCACTGCCTTGGTGGGAGATGCTACGAGACGGCAGCAAGCAGACTTAATAAAGAATTTTTTCTCGATTGGGTCATGTCCTTCAGGAAGTTTGTATCTTTTTATCACAATGCGTTGGTTGGAATGGGGCGGTAACATGAGTGAGACACTAAGGATAAAAAGGAGGAAGCCCTAGAGTACTGTTGCACTGTTCAGATAAGCGTATGTGATGTGAAAACTATGATAGGAAGGAAAGGTAGGTTGCTCTGAGATCCCAGGCTAACAAGTGATTCTGTATCCTACCTTGACAATGTTCATGGCCTCTAAGTGCTTGCCTCTGGCAATCACCAACTTGAGGATGCACGCCTCAGCAGGATGAGGGCCCGTTTCCTCATTTGCCTACAATTGACCTCGCAGTGGCATAATATGCTCAAATTAACCAGCAGTCACCCCTTCTGCTCAAAGTAATTTTTGCTGGATTGGGCTGGGGAGGAGGGAATGTAATTCAAATACAGCCCTGCCTCAGGTTTCAGGATGTGCTGCCGATGATGGAAGAAGCGGTGTGGAGAACCGGGAGGCAGGAGCGAAGATGAAGAGGCAGCAGAAGCCTGCAGATGCGGGGGGGAAGGAGAGAGGCACCCTGGGCAAAGCATCTCCCTGCTAGCAGGGGCATAGTCGAATTGGAGTTGAGCGTTGCCGGCACCTTGGGTGACCTGGCCGGCTTTGTGCTGGGCGACCTCCCTGTAAGCAGGGCTCCGGTCTTTGCTGTAGCTGTAGTTGGCCTTTTGCAACCTTGCTCCTTTGGCTGCCTGGGGAGCGTGGCCCCCTGTACGGAGGGCGAGAGCCACCTCTCCGCACCCGAGTGGGAAATGGAGCTCGCTGGACCCCAGGGCCACTCTGTAAGCAGGGTAGTGCCTTTCCCTGCCCCTCCTCCTCCTCCGGCCCCGCAGTGCTGTTGCCTGCTGGTGGCCTGTCAATGTGCCGGCCCTGTACTCGGGGTGTGTGTCACGGCGTTTGGCCTTTGTCCTTTCTTGAGTAGCCCCTTGGCACGTTGAGGTCTGTGGCCTCCATGCAGCCCGGGATGGGTCCCAGGCTCTTGTCTGTTGCTCGTAGGTGTGGGTTTATTCCCAGGGATTGGCTGTGCTGCGTTGTCCTTCCCTTCTGGAAAGTTGCATCTGTGTGTGTGTTGCCCTTCCTTTCCTTGTTTGTGTTTGTGGAGTGACTGAGCACCTGTGCTTTCCCTTTAGGCCTCCTCAAAGATTGCTGCAGCTTAGCTGTGACTTCCCAGGGGGGAATGGAGGACTTTGGTGCATGCCGCATGAGGGGTGTTCCCTCACCTCAGTCCTGCGAGCGCAGCGGATGTCCTGTGTGTCCTGTCTCCTTTTTGCTTAGTAGAGATCTGCGCCACATGGTAGCTGTGTGGCCAAGGCCACCCTGTATCCAGGGCTTGGGCCTGTCCTTGTGTGGCCGCCTGTTCTGCTGGCGGCGTGACAGCCCTGAACTCGGGGTGCATGTCACAAGCCCTCTGTCCCCCGAGCAGCCCGTCCCCTGTACCCCCCCTGTAATCAGGGCTGGGGAGGCTGCAGCGCTGCAGCCGGCTGCTTTAGCCATCCAGCTGGCGGGAGTGACCCCTCCCTGTCCCGTCAGAGGGTGCAGGTTGAGGTGCTGACTGTGTGTTGGGTGACCTCCTCGCTCGGTGGGTTGAGGTTGCTCTCTGGGCTCCCAAAGATGTGCTGATGTTGTGCTGCCGGGCGGGCCAGCCTGTAGCTCAGGCGTTGGCGGGAGCCACGTGCTCCGTGGGGCTTCTTGGAGATAGATGGTGAGGCGTGGGGCGCCGGCCTGTAGGCAGGGCCGTGCGTGCCCCCTGTGCTTGGTGAGCTGTGTTCTGAGAGACAGACCCCCTGTACTCAGGCGGGAATGTGGCCCCGGCCTTTCAGAGGCACGGGGCTGCGAGATGTGGGGCTGGGCTTGCACCCTCCCTGGATTTGGGGCTGGCATCTGACCGCGGCCTTTGGCCGTGCCGCCCCGCTGCCTGGCGGCTCAGAGTTGCTCCTGCTGCTGGGGGGGAAACCGAGCTCTGTGGCTCCAGGGGTGTTGTCGGCCCGCCTGTAATCAGGGTCTGGGCGTGCGAGCCTCTATGCTCTGCTGGCAGCCCGTGTGGGGTGACCGCCCTGTTAGCGGGCTGCGGGTCAAATCGCCCCCGACTGGGAGAGAAGGAGCCTCCCGCGGCCTTAGGGATGGGGGCTGCCCTGTAACTCAGGGAGCAGCTGTGCCCCGCAGTCCCAGGCCCTTTGCCATGGAGACAGTGGCGGGGGGTCCCCTGTAAGCAGGGAAGCAGACTCCTTCGCCACTGCTTTTAGTGTGCCCAGCTCCATTTGCCCAGTCTGCCCGCCTCTGCGATCCCCTGCAACGCTGGCTGGAGCCTGCGCCGTGCGCCTCTGAGGTGAGAAAAGCTGCTCTGCGTAGACTTTGCTGCAATGGACGGGGAGGAGGGGGGCATGCAGGATCTTCCTCGGTGGCTGCACGGCTGTGTGCCGCATTCCTTTGGGACGCTGGGCTTCCCGCCTCCTTCAGGTGGAGGCTTAGCTGCTGCTGCTGCGGTCTAATGGTGTCGTGCCTCGTGTTTCAGGATGTGCTGCCGATGATGGAAGAAGCGGTGTGGAGAACCGGGAGGCAGGAGCGAAGAAGATGAAGAGGAAGCAGAAGCCTGCAGATGCGGGGGGGAAGGAGAGAGGCACCCTGGGCAAAGCATCTCCCTGCTAGCAGGGGCATAGTCGAATTGGAGTTGAGCGTTGCCGGCACCTTGGGTGACCTGGCCGGCTTTGTGCTGGGCGACCTCCCTGTAAGCAGGGCTCCGGTCTTTGCTGTAGCTGTAGTTGGCCTTTTGCAACCTTGCTCCTTTGGCTGCCTGGGGAGCGTGGCCCCCTGTACGGAGGGCGAGAGCCACCTCTCCGCACCCGAGTGGGAAATGGAGCTCGCTGGACCCCAGGGCCACCCTGTAAGCAGGGTAGTGCCTTTCCCTGCCCCTCCTCCTCCTCCGGCCCCGCAGTGCTGTTGCCTGCTGGTGGCCTGTCAATGTGCCGGCCCTGTACTTGTACTTCTGTCAAATGGCGTGGAGCCCTCTGTCCCCCGAGCGGCCTACTGCCCCTATGCTCCCTGTAATCAGGGCTGGGGAGGCTGCAGCGCTGCAGCCGGCTGCTTTAGCCATCCAGCTGGTGGGAGTGACCCCTCCCTGTCCCATCAGAGGGTGCAGGTTGAGGTGCTGACTGTGTGTGGGGTGACCTCCTCGCTCGGTGGGTTGAGGTTGCTCTCTGGGCTCCCAAAGATGTGCTGATGTTGTGCTGCCGGGCGGGCCAGCCTGTAGCTCAGGCGTTGGCGGGAGCCACGTGCTCCGTGGGGCTTCTTGGAGATAGATGGTGAGGCGTGGGGCGCCGGCCTGTAGGCAGGGCCGTGCGTGCCCCCTGTGCTTGGTGAGCTGTGTTCTGAGAGACAGACCCCCTGTACTCAGGCGGGAATGTGGCCCCGGCCTTTCAGAGGCACGGGGCTGCGAGATGTGGGGCTGGGCTTGCACCCTCCCTGGATTTGGGGCTGGCATCTGACCGCGGCCTTTGGCCGTGTCGCCCCGCTGCCTGGCGGCTCAGAGTTGCTCCTGCTGCTGGGGGGGAAACCGAGCTCTGTGGCTCCAGGGGTGTTGTCGGCCCGCCTGTAATCAGGGTCTGGGCGTGCGAGCCTCTATGCTCTGCTGGCAGCCCGTGTGGGGTGACCGCCCTGTTAGCGGGCTGCGGGTCAAATCGCCCCCGACTGGGAGAGAAGGAGCCTCCCGCGGCCTTAGGGATGGGGGCTGCCCTGTAACTCAGGGAGCGGCTGTGCCCCGCAGTCCCAGGCCCTTTGCCATGGAGACAGTGGCGGGGGGTCCCCTGTAAGCAGGGAAGCAGACTCCTTCGCCACTGCTTTTAGTGTGCCCAGCTCCATTTGCCCAGTCTGCCCGCCTCTGCGATCCCCTGCAACGCTGGCTGGAGCCTGCGCCGTGCGCCTCTGAGGTGAGAAAAGCTGCTCTGCGTAGACTTTGCTGCAATGGACGGGGAGGAGGGGGGCATGCAGGATCTTCCTCGGTGGCTGCACGGCTGTGTGCCGCATTCCTTTGGGACGCTGGGCTTCCCGCCTCCTTCAGGTGGAGGCTTAGCTGCTGCTGCTGCGGTCTAATGGTGTCGTGCCTCGTGTTTCAGGATGTGCTGCCGATGATGGAAGAAGCGGTGTGGAGAACCGGGAGGCAGGAGCGAAGAAGATGAAGAGGAAGCAGAAGCCTGCAGATGCGGGGGGGAAGGAGAGAGGCACCCTGGGCAAAGCATCTCCCTGCTAGCAGGGGCATAGTCGAATTGGAGTTGAGCGTTGCCGGCACCTTGGGTGACCTGGCCGGCTTTGTGCTGGGCGACCTCCCTGTAAGCAGGGCTCCGGTCTTTGCTGTAGCTGTAGTTGGCCTTTTGCAACCTTGCTCCTTTGGCTGCCTGGGGAGCGTGGCCCCCTGTACGGAGGGCGAGAGCCACCTCTCCGGACCCGAGTGGGAAATGGAGCTCGCTGGACCCCAGGGCCACCCTGTAAGCAGGGTAGTGCCTTTCCCTGCCCCTCCTCCTCCTCCGGCCCCTCAGTGCTGTTGCCTGCTGGTGGCCTGTCAATGTGCCAGCCCTGTACTTGTACTTCTGTCAAATGGCGTGGAGCCCTCTGTCCCCCGAGCGGCCTACTGCCCCTATGCTCCCTGTAATCAGGGCTGGGGAGGCTGCAGCGCTGCAGCCGGCTGCTTTAGCCATCCAGCTGGTGGGAGTGACCCCTCCCTGTCCCATCAGAGGGTGCAGGTTGAGGTGCTGACTGTGTGTGGGGTGACCTCCTCGCTCGGTGGGTTGAGGTTGCTCTCTGGGCTCCCAAAGATGTGCTGATGTTGTGCTGCCGGGCGGGCCAGCCTGTAGCTCAGGCGTTGGCGGGAGCCACGTGCTCCGTGGGGCTTCTTGGAGATAGATGGTGAGGCGTGGGGCGCCGGCCTGTAGGCAGGGCCGTGCGTGCCCCCTGTGCTTGGTGAGCTGTGTTCTGAGAGACAGACCCCCTGTACTCAGGCGGGAATGTGGCCCCGGCCTTTCAGAGGCACGGGGCTGCGAGATGTGGGGCTGGGCTTGCACCCTCCCTGGATTTGGGGCTGGCATCTGACCGCGGCCTTTGGCCGTGTCGCCCCGCTGCCTGGCGGCTCAGAGTTGCTCCTGCTGCTGGGGGGGAAACCGAGCTCTGTGGCTCCAGGGGTGTTGTCGGCCCGCCTGTAATCAGGGTCTGGGCGTGCGAGCCTCTATGCTCTGCTGGCAGCCCGTGTGGGGTGACCGCCCTGTTAGCGGGCTGCGGGTCAAATCGCCCCCGACTGGGAGAGAAGGAGCCTCCCGCGGCCTTAGGGATGGGGGCTGCCCTGTAACTCAGGGAGCAGCTGTGCCCCGCAGTCCCAGGCCCTTTGCCATGGAGACAGTGGCGGGGGGGTCCCCTGTAAGCAGGGAAGCAGACTCCTTCGCCACTGCTTTTAGTGTGCCCAGCTCCATTTGCCCAGTCTGCCCGCCTCTGCGATCCCCTGCAACGCTGGCTGGAGCCTGCGCCGTGCGCCTCTGAGGTGAGAAAAGCTGCTCTGCGTAGACTTTGCTGCAATGGACGGGGAGGAGGGGGGCATGCAGGATCTTCCTCGGTGGCTGCACGGCTGTGTGCCGCATTCCTTTGGGACGCTGGGCTTCCCGCCTCCTTCAGGTGGAGGCTTAGCTGCTGCTGCTGCGGTCTAATGGTGTCGTGCCTCGTGTTTCAGGATGTGCTGCCGATGATGGAAGAAGCGGTGTGGAGAACCGGGAGGCAGGAGCGAAGAAGATGAAGAGGAAGCAGAAGCCTGCAGATGCGGGGGGGAAGGAGAGAGGCACCCTGGGCAAAGCATCTCCCTGCTAGCAGGGGCATAGTCAAATTGGAGTTGAGCGTTGCCGGCACCTTGGGTGACCTGGCCGGCTTTGTGCTGGGCGACCTCCCTGTAAGCAGGGCTCCGGTCTTTGCTGTAGCTGTAGTTGGCCTTTTGCAACCTTGCTCCTTTGGCTGCCTGGGGAGCGTGGCCCCCTGTACGGAGGGCGAGAGCCACCTCTCCGCACCCGAGTGGGAAATGGAGCTCGCTGGACCCCAGGGCCACCCTGTAAGCAGGGTAGTGCCTTTCCCTGCCCCTCCTCCTCCTCCGGCCCCGCAGTGCTGTTGCCTGCTGGTGGCCTGTCAATGTGCCGGCCCTGTACTCGGGGTGTGTGTCACGGCGTTTGGCCTTTGTCCTTTCTTGAGTAGCCCCTTGGCACGTTGAGATCTGTGGCCTCCGTGCAGCCCGGGATGGGTCCCAGGCTCTTGTCTGTTGCTCGTAGGTGTGGGTTTATTCCCAGGGATTGGCTGTGCTGCGTTGTCCTTCCCTTCTGGAAAGTTGCATCTGTGTGTGTGTTGCCCTTCCTTTCCTTGTTTGTGTTTGTGGAGTGACTGAGCACCTGTGCTTTCCCTTTAGGCCTCCTCAAAGATTGCTGCAGCTTAGCTGTGACTTCCCAGGGGGGAATGGAGGACTTTGGTGCATGCCGCATGAGGGGTGTTCCCTCACCTCAGTCCTGCGAGCGCAGCGGATGTCCTGTGTGTCCTGTCTCCTTTTTGCTTAGTAGAGATCTGCGCCACATGGTAGCTGTGTGGCCAAGGCCACCCTGTATCCAGGGCTTGGGCCTGTCCTTGTGTGGCCGCCTGTTCTGCTGGCGGCGTGACAGCCCTGTACTCGGGGTGCATGTCACAAGCCCTCTGTCCCCCGAGCAGCCCGTCCCCTGTACCCCCCCTGTAATCAGGGCTGGGGAGGCTGCAGCGCTGCAGCCGGCTGCTTTAGCCATCCAGCTGGCGGGAGTGACCCCTCCCTGTCCCGTCAGAGGGTGCAGGTTGAGGTGCTGACTGTGTGTGGGGTGACCTCCCCGCTCGGTGGGTTGAGGTTGCTCTCTGGGCTCCCAAAGATGTGCTGATGTTGTGCTGCCGGGCGGGCCAGCCTGTAGCTCAGGCGTTGGCGGGAGCCACGTGCTCCGTGGGGCTTCTTGGAGATAGATGGTGAGGCGTGGGGCGCCGGCCTGTAGGCAGGGCCGTGCGTGCCCCCTGTGCTTGGTGAGCTGTGTTCTGAGAGACAGACCCCCTGTACTCAGGCGGGAATGTGGCCCCGGCCTTTCAGAGGCACGGGGCTGCGAGATGTGGGGCTGGGCTTGCACCCTCCCTGGATTTGGGGCTGGCATCTGACCGCGGCCTTTGGCCGTGTCGCCCCGCTGCCTGGCGGCTCAGAGTTGCTCCTGCTGCTGGGGGGGAAACCGAGCTCTGTGGCTCCAGGGGTGTTGTCGGCCCGCCTGTAATCAGGGTCTGGGCGTGCGAGCCTCTATGCTCTGCTGGCAGCCCGTGTGGGGTGACCGCCCTGTTAGCGGGCTGCGGGTCAAATCGCCCCCGACTGGGAGAGAAGGAGCCTCCCGCGGCCTTAGGGATGGGGGCTGCCCTGTAACTCAGGGAGCGGCTGTGCCCCGCAGTCCCAGGCCCTTTGCCATGGAGACAGTGGCGGGGGGTCCCTGTAAGCAGGGAAGCAGACTCCTTCGCCACTGCTTTTAGTGTGCCCAGCTCCATTTGCCCAGTCTGCCCGCCTCTGCGATCCCCTGCAACGCTGGCTGGAGCCTGCGCCGTGCGCCTCTGAGGTGAGAAAAGCTGCTCTGTGTAGACTTTGCTGCAATGGACGGGGAGGAGGGGCGCATGCAGGATCTTCCTCGGTGGCTGCACGGCTGTGTGCCGCATTCCTTTGGGACGCTGGGCTTCCCGCCTCCTTCAGGTGGAGGCTTAGCTGCTGCTGCTGCGGTCTAATGGTGTCGTGCCTCGTGTTTCAGGATGTGCTGCCGATGATGGAAGAAGCGGTGTGGAGAACCGGGAGGCAGGAGCGAAGAAGATGAAGAGGAAGCAGAAGCCTGCAGATGCGGGGGGGAAGGAGAGAGGCACCCTGGGCAAAGCATCTCCCTGCTAGCAGGGGCATAGTCGAATTGGAGTTGAGCGTTGCCGGCACCTTGGGTGACCTGGCCGGCTTTGTGCTGGGCGACCTCCCTGTAAGCAGGGCTCCGGTCTTTGCTGTAGCTGTAGTTGGCCTTTTGCAACCTTGCTCCTTTGGCTGCCTGGGGAGCGTGGCCCCCTGTACGGAGGGCGAGAGCCACCTCTCCGGACCCGAGTGGGAAATGGAGCTCGCTGGACCCCAGGGCCACCCTGTAAGCAGGGTAGTGCCTTTCCCTGCCCCTCCTCCTCCTCCGGCCCCTCAGTGCTGTTGCCTGCTGGTGGCCTGTCAATGTGCCAGCCCTGTACTTGTACTTCTGTCAAATGGCGTGGAGCCCTCTGTCCCCCGAGCGGCCTACTGCCCCTATGCTCCCTGTAATCAGGGCTGGGGAGGCTGCAGCGCTGCAGCCGGCTGCTTTAGCCATCCAGCTGGTGGGAGTGACCCCTCCCTGTCCCATCAGAGGGTGCAGGTTGAGGTGCTGACTGTGTGTGGGGTGACCTCCTCGCTCGGTGGGTTGAGGTTGCTCTCTGGGCTCCCAAAGATGTGCTGATGTTGTGCTGCCGGGCGGGCCAGCCTGTAGCTCAGGCGTTGGCGGGAGCCACGTGCTCCGTGGGGCTTCTTGGAGATAGATGGTGAGGCGTGGGGCGCCGGCCTGTAGGCAGGGCCGTGCGTGCCCCCTGTGCTTGGTGAGCTGTGTTCTGAGAGACAGACCCCCTGTACTCAGGCGGGAATGTGGCCCCGGCCTTTCAGAGGCACGGGGCTGCGAGATGTGGGGCTGGGCTTGCACCCTCCCTGGATTTGGGGCTGGCATCTGACCGCGGCCTTTGGCCGTGTCGCCCCGCTGCCTGGCGGCTCAGAGTTGCTCCTGCTGCTGGGGGGGAAACCGAGCTCTGTGGCTCCAGGGGTGTTGTCGGCCCGCCTGTAATCAGGGTCTGGGCGTGCGAGCCTCTATGCTCTGCTGGCAGCCCGTGTGGGGTGACCGCCCTGTTAGCGGGCTGCGGGTCAAATCGCCCCCGACTGGGAGAGAAGGAGCCTCCCGCGGCCTTAGGGATGGGGGCTGCCCTGTAACTCAGGGAGCGGCTGTGCCCCGCAGTCCCAGGCCCTTTGCCATGGAGACAGTGGCGGGGGGTCCCTGTAAGCAGGGAAGCAGACTCCTTCGCCACTGCTTTTAGCGTGCCCAGCTCCATTTGCCCAGTCTGCCCGCCTCTGCGATCCCCTGCAACGCTGGCTGGAGCCTGCGCCGTGCGCCTCTGAGGTGAGAAAAGCTGCTCTGTGTAGACTTTGCTGCAATGGACGGGGAGGAGGGGGGCATGCAGGATCTTCCTCGGTGGCTGCACGGCTGTGTGCCGCATTCCTTTGGGACGCTGGGCTTCCCGCCTCCTTCAGGTGGAGGCTTAGCTGCTGCTGCTGCGGTCTAATGGTGTCGTGCCTCGTGTTTCAGGATGTGCTGCCGATGATGGAAGAAGCGGTGTGGAGAACCGGGAGGCAGGAGCGAAGAAGATGAAGAGGAAGCAGAAGCCTGCAGATGCGGGGGGGAAGGAGAGAGGCACCCTGGGCAAAGCATCTCCCTGCTAGCAGGGGCATAGTCGAATTGGAGTTGAGCGTTGCCGGCACCTTGGGTGACCTGGCCGGCTTTGTGCTGGGCGACCTCCCTGTAAGCAGGGCTCCGGTCTTTGCTGTAGCTGTAGTTGGCCTTTTGCAACCTTGCTCCTTTGGCTGCCTGGGGAGCGTGGCCCCCTGTACGGAGGGCGAGAGCCACCTCTCCGCACCCGAGTGGGAAATGGAGCTCGCTGGACCCCAGGGCCACCCTGTAAGCAGGGTAGTGCCTTTCCCTGCCCCTCCTCCTCCTCCGGCCCCGCAGTGCTGTTGCCTGCTGGTGGCCTGTCAATGTGCCGGCCCTGTACTCGGGGTGTGTGTCACGGCGTTTGGCCTTTGTCCTTTCTTGAGTAGCCCCTTGGCACGTTGAGATCTGTGGCCTCCGTGCAGCCCGGGATGGGTCCCAGGCTCTTGTCTGTTGCTCGTAGGTGTGGGTTTATTCCCAGGGATTGGCTGTGCTGCGTTGTCCTTCCCTTCTGGAAAGTTGCATCTGTGTGTGTGTTGCCCTTCCTTTCCTTGTTTGTGTTTGTGGAGTGACTGAGCACCTGTGCTTTCCCTTTAGGCCTCCTCAAAGATTGCTGCAGCTTAGCTGTGACTTCCCAGGGGGGAATGGAGGACTTTGGTGCATGCCGCATGAGGGGTGTTCCCTCACCTCAGTCCTGCGAGCGCAGCGGATGTCCTGTGTGTCCTGTCTCCTTTTTGCTTAGTAGAGATCTGCGCCACATGGTAGCTGTGTGGCCAAGGCCACCCTGTATCCAGGGCTTGGGCCTGTCCTTGTGTGGCCGCCTGTTCTGCTGGCGGCGTGACAGCCCTGTACTCGGGGTGCATGTCACAAGCCCTCTGTCCCCCGTGCAGCCCGTCCCCTGTACCCCCCCTGTAATCAGGGCTGGGGAGGCTGCAGCGCTGCAGCCGGCTGCTTTAGCCATCCAGCTGGCGGGAGTGACCCCTCCCTGTCCCGTCAGAGGGTGCAGGTTGAGGTGCTGACTGTGTGTTGGGTGACCTCCTCGCTCGGTGGGTTGAGGTTGCTCTCTGGGCTCCCAAAGATGTGCTGATGTTGTGCTGCCGGGCGGGCCAGCCTGTAGCTCAGGCGTTGGCGGGAGCCACGTGCTCCGTGGGGCTTCTTGGTGATAGATGGTGAGGCGTGGGGCGCCGGCCTGTAGGCAGGGCCGTGCGTGCCCCCTGTGCTTGGTGAGCTGTGTTCTGAGAGACAGACCCCCTGTACTCAGGCGGGAATGTGGCCCCGGCCTTTCAGAGGCACGGGGCTGCGAGATGTGGGGCTGGGCTTGCACCCTCCCTGGATTTGGGGCTGGCATCTGACCGCGGCCTTTGGCCGTGTCGCCCCGCTGCCTGGCGGCTCAGAGTTGCTCCTGCTGCTGGGGGGGAAACCGAGCTCTGTGGCTCCAGGGGTGTTGTCGGCCCGCCTGTAATCAGGGTCTGGGCGTGCGAGCCTCTATGCTCTGCTGGCAGCCCGTGTGGGGTGACCGCCCTGTTAGCGGGCTGCGGGTCAAATCGCCCCCGACTGGGAGAGAAGGAGCCTCCCGCGGCCTTAGGGATGGGGGCTGCCCTGTAACTCAGGGAGCGGCTGTGCCCCGCAGTCCCAGGCCCTTTGCCATGGAGACAGTGGCGGGGGGTCCCTGTAAGCAGGGAAGCAGACTCCTTCGCCACTGCTTTTAGTGTGCCCAGCTCCATTTGCCCAGTCTGCCCGCCTCTGCGATCCCCTGCAACGCTGGCTGGAGCCTGCGCCGTGCGCCTCTGAGGTGAGAAAAGCTGCTCTGCGTAGACTTTGCTGCAATGGACGGGGAGGAGGGGGGCATGCAGGATCTTCCTCGGTGGCTGCACGGCTGTGTGCCGCATTCCTTTGGGACGCTGGGCTTCCCGCCTCCTTCAGGTGGAGGCTTAGCTGCTGCTGCTGCGGTCTAATGGTGTCGTGCCTCGTGTTTCAGGATGTGCTGCCAAAGATGGAAGAAGCGGTGTGGAGAACTAGGAGGCAGGAGTAGGCAAGAAGCGGATGCTTTTTACTGTCTTATTTCATGTGATTCTTTTGTGTTTAGTACCGGTTGCTTACCTATGTATGTATCTATTACTTCATTTCTTCTTATTGCCTCCATTTTCTCTTATGAATAAATTTTTTGTGCTTGTTCAAGTAGTTTCTTGTTCTCATCTTTGAATCTTTTAAGCAATCACCGGCGTTGTCGTCGTCTTTATTTGAGGTACCGACCCTATCCAACAAGATCTCTAATTGGAGTGTTTAGCTCACCTCTCTCATCTGTGGTTAAAGGGTGAACTGAGTTCTATAGCCTTCTTCAGTTCAATCTCTGCCTCATTAGGATGTTGGGGCAGGGGCTTCCTTTGGTGCTTTCTGATTCCGCCCCATCCTGCAAGTGCTGCTGTGCTATTGACTATAGAAGGGCAGATCTTGGCTCCCCTCTTCCAGGCACTCGCATGCTCACCTACTTTTTCAGGCTTTGACCTGGCAAATCCCCTGCTGGCCTATATTGAATTGTAGGGTTCAATTAAGTAGCATGAAGCCATTTGTTTCTTACTGGTTTAATTGTGTTTACCGTTGGTTTCTTTCATCCACCCCAATGGGAAATCCTTCAAGCAGAACTGGGTGTTTTGCTGTCCTTTATTTGAGGTGTAGTGCTGACTGATATAGCAGAGCTCTTCCCTTAATCTTACCTATGTCCAGTGTCAAGCCAGCTCAGTGCTTTTGCATATAGATGCACGTCATAACAATACAGTGGTGGCAAATAGGGAAGGGCCATGCATGTGGTTACATCCTGTAACAGAATCATAGAATGGCTTGGGTTGGGAGGGACCTCAAGGATCATCAAGTTCCAACCCCTTGCTACTGGCAGGGCCACCAACCTCCAGATCTGGTACTAGACCAGGCTGCCCAGGGCCCCATCCAACCTGGCCTTGAACAACTTCAGGGATGGGGCATCCACAACCTCTGGGCAGCTGTGTCAGCACCTCACTACTCTCTCTGTGAAGAACTTCCCCCCAGCAGCTAGTCTAAACCTTCCCTCTTGAGCCTAAAACCATTCCCCCTTGTCCTATCACTTTTCTGTAAGGTCTGCACAACTCCAGAAAATAGAATCAGAATTGCTCATCTTGAAGGAAAAGACCTTCAAGATCGTGAAGTCCAACCGCAATCTAACCATACTACCCTAACAATGCACTGCTGAATGTGATTATAATGTTTTTATGTGTCTCAAGAAATTGAATAACTGGATAGAGATTAAATGCCACAAATTAATGTTCTTCTCTAGACAGGATGATTTCAGCGTGGCCGCTGAGCCAGCAGCTGTCTGCTCATAGGGCCTAATGGCGTGTGCTGTTACTCGTTGGGCTGTGTACTGATGGTTCCCTTGTGTGTCTGAGAGCAGTGTAAGGGAATAAATCAAGGGTCACTCTTGTGGAAACGGAGCACAGCTCTGAATAATGACGAAGGGCAGGACAAGGGAGCATAAGCTTGTTGGAAATCGCTCCACTGATTGTTTTGCTGCTTAAATAGACTAAGGTTCCTCTTAAGACTTGTGCAGTGTTTCTAAGTAACAACAGACATTGGAGTGAGTGCAATCTTCTGTTGAACAAGGTGTGTTCATAGTTTTTCCTGAAATCCTTTAAGGCAGCTGCCTTGCAGCCGCCACCAAGCAAATCTTCAGAAAGCGTTTTTTTATTTTGCTTTTCACATTCACTGGAGATATTCATCAATCTATTTTTCTCGTAATACAAAGTCATCTGTCAGCATGTAATGGTGACTGCTTTGTTGATCTGAACTTCAGCTTTGTAGTTTACACGCCTACAGTGCATGCGACACAGCCTCACCACACGTGTGGAATGCTGTGTACCTGTCACGGGGTTATCCCTAGATATAAGTCTGTGACAGGGGGGCACAGGCCCCAGGAAAAAAGAGAAAAAAAGAAGGGGTACTAATGGTCTGCCATGACCTAGCCGGCCCCGGGCTCCAGGGAGAAGGGAAAGGGCAGAGAGCGAGCAGATAGTTTTAACAAAAAGAAAATACAGTGGCAACAATCTGAGGAGGAATTCCAATTTACTGAATTTAACTAAATCAAACAAAATGAGAGACAAGAGTATCCAAAATGTGATTCAAACCACAATAGCGCAAGGGAAGCACCTGCTTTTCTCCGTGGCAAGCTGAGATGGCTGAGCCGGGGCCAGAGGGAGAGAGGCAGATGCTCAAGTCCTGTCCAGTGCTCCACACCACGTCCTCTTCCCACCAGGTCCTCTGGGGATGCTGTCCCCTCCCATCAGGATACTCAAGGTGCTCATAAAAGGCAGTAAACGGTACCAGAACATTAACTCGTTAACTCCCATTGGTCCACGTGAGGTTCTGATGTGGAATACTGACAACAAAAATCACAAAACCACAACAATAACCTATCCTCTGTGTATGAGGACATGCCTGTCCTCGTGGGAGGGATATAGGAGTGTTGTCAGGGTCTGCGGGGATGCGGTGAGGAAAGCTAAAGCCTACCTGGAGTTGAATCTGGCAAAGGAGATAAAGTGTAATAAGGATTTTTTAAGTAAATCAACAGTAAAAGGAAGATTGGGGATAATGTGGGTCCCCTGCAGAACGAGGGGAATGTCCTGGTAACGGGGAAGGTGGAGAAGCTGAATGCTTTCTTTGCTTTGGTCTCCACTTCAAAGACTCCCACTTGGGACTTCAGGACCCTGGAGCAAAGAGAAAGAATCTGGGAAATGGAAAGCTTCCCTCTGGTTGAGGAGGGAATGGTCTGGGAGCATCTGGGTGGGATCAAATCCACGGGCCCTCATGGGATGCATGCACGTGTGCTGAGGGAGCTGGTAGATGTGAGGGCTGGATCACTTTGTGACCTCTATCATCTTTGACAGGTTTTGGAGAAGAGGAGAGGTGCTTGAAGACTGGAGGATAGCCAGTGTCACACTGGTCTTCAAAAAGGGCAAGAAGGAGGATCTGGGAAACTGCAGGCCAATCAGTCTCACCTCTGTCTCTAGAAAGGTGATGGAGCACCTTGTCCTGGCGGACAACAGGTTGGCCGTGAGCCGGCAGGGTGTCCTGGTGGCCAAGAAGGCCAGTGGGATCCTGGGATGCATTAAGAGGAATGTGGCCAGCAGGCCAAGGGAGGTGATCCCATGAGGGAGAGCCCCCTATGCTCTGCCCTGGTCAGGCCTCACCTGCAGTAATGTGTGCTGTTCTGGGCTCCCAGGTGCAGAAAGGACCAGCATCTCCCAGGAAGAGTACAATGGAGGGGCATAAAGATGGTAAAGGGCCTGGAGCACCTCTCTTATAAGGGAAGGTTGAATGATCTGGGACTCAGAGGGGATCTTATCAATGTTTTTTGATCGCCGAGGTTTGCTGCTTCGGAGCTGCCCCAGGCAGAGCTGAGGCGGCTGATCGCGGGGCGCACAGCGGACTCGCACGGTCCTCCCTCATCCAGGGACTCCCGCGGCATCGGAGCAGCCCCGCACCTCTCGCGAGAGCGGCTCACGTGGCGGAGGCGCTGCCAGGGTAGCGGCTCTCCGTCCCCGCCTGCCTCCCCCGCCTCTAATGAGAGCGTTGAAGAGCTCTCCTCCACACAAACGAGGACGAGGAGTTTTGTCATTGTGAAGATGGTGGTAGGCGTGGTTGCA